AAAAAAAAAAAATTAAAGATGCACAAATCCAGAAGCGCGCACTTCGTACTTCGCCAATATTAATGCCAAATTTCGTCTTCTTTCATTATTGAGTAATATCTATGTTTTGCATTAAGACAAATAATAAAATTTTGTACACCAACACTACTTCATTACTAAATATTTCTTAATTGATTTATAAAAATATTCAGTGAATATAATTTTCACTTGTCGTCATTTCATCTACACATTTTTTTCCTATAAAACTACGAGTAAGGCACAATTGTTTTGTTTCTTGAGTTTTCCGCTATCCCGTTGGCGGCTATTAAAATTATATAAATATTTATATTTACAGCTATGTATTTATTTAGAAAAAAAAACAGTTTATGTTATAAAAGCTTCACACTTCAACGCCATAATTCCGATCGACCACATATTCAAAACGTTGATCTTTTTGATCGTCACTGCTGGGACTGCTGTTGTTCGGCGCTGGCGCTTTAGCTGCTACGGCAGCGCTTGTGCTTGGCGCTAATGATATATTTGTGGCTGTTGCTGTTGCTGTCGATGCGGCGCTGGCGCTGGCGTTGGCAGCCGCGGCTGCAGCTGCAGCTGCTGTGGTTTTCGCTGCATTCAGTTCTCTTCGACTGATCGCTCCACCTGCATGATTCTCATTGAGATTCTTATTTCTATTGTTGCTAGCTACGAGCGCTGTATTGATTGCGATCGCTGTTTCGCGTGCCTTGTCCTCTTCATCGTCTTCCTCTTCGTCCTCATCTTCCTCTTCGATGAGATCGCCATCGGTCAGCACGTAATCGGCACGATCTGGTAACTCGGGCACTGGAAAACCTTTACGTGTGAAGAACGTCATTTTTTCCCTAAAAACAAAAGATATAAAAATTTAACAAATGGAATTTCAAAATTTGGTTTAATTACCAACTACGTTAGTATGTTTTGCAACTATAAAATCCAAATTCTAAATAAAATTGTGCATNAGAATTTCAAATTTGGTTTAATTACCAACTACTTTAGTATGTTTTGCAACTATAAAATCCAAATTCTAAATAAAATTGTGCATTAAAAGAATGTATAAAAGTGTATTGCATTCGACTCAGAGTAAAAGTTGTTCAGGAAATTTGCAAGTCGTACCTTTCACGGCGACGGTGGGCGAAATATTCTGCTTAAAATTTTTTAGATTTGGTCACTTGAATTTAACATGACTTGACTTAAAAAGAGCAATATCGCCAGCTCCAACACAATAGATGGACCTATCCAAGACTTTTGAAACGAAACGAGGTTTCAGACAAGGCGACTCTCTATCTTTTGGATTTCTTTGAGAGAGAATTAAGGTCCACTCTCGGTGAACAAATCAATGTTTATAGGTCACTCATCACGACCGTCTTGATGTATGGCGTAGAAGCGTTGACGGCCCTTGAAGTTTCGGAAAGAAAAATTATACGGGACAACTCATACGCTGACGACTGTTCGATATTGGGTATAGCATTGAAGACCTCTGTACGAAAGTACCTTTACCTCTGATAGCCTGCAGGCAT